AGTAGAGGCCTGGCAGAGCATCACCAGGAGATGAAACCCAGCATCTGGTGATGTCTATGCGTTCCAGACTTCAGGCTGTAATTGACTGCAAAGGATTTGCAACCAAGTATTAAAAAGTGAAAGTTTGATTTATGATTATTATTCTGTCCCATTACTTTTGGTCCCTTGACAAGTGGGAGGCACATATGCAAACTGTTGTAATTCCTACACCGTTCACCTGATTTGGATGTAAATACCCTCAAATTAAAGCTGACAGTCTGCAGTTAAAGCACATCTTGTTTGTTTCATTTCAATTCCATTGTGGTGGTGTATAGAGCCAAAAATGTTAGATTTGTGTCAATGTCCCAATATTTATGGACCTGACTGTATATTCATAGTATTAAAAATAATAGAAAATTACCAAACAAAATGATATATATATACCAAAATAAATATATAAAAAATTAACCTTTACATCTTTTAACCTTTAAAACTAAACATTGCATATTTTTTTTAAAAAGTAACCATTTACAGTTTACCATTTAGATCCAGCAGTTTATGGAATTATGAAAATAATCACTGTACAAAAAGTAGCATACAAAGCACTAACATTTTTGATGGTCATAAATCATTACATATTGATTAACTGCGACTAAGTAAAAGAATATAAAAAAAACTAATTCAAAACAAAGTAAAATCAATGCTGAGATGTCGAAGGATACTAAATGGTATCCCAAAGGAGTTTGGAAGCTGCCTAGACTTAATCTGCATATGTGAAAGCTCAGTAAAATTGTTAGCAAAAAAACTAAAATTATAAAAGGGATGAATGTCTGTGGAATATGACTAAGTGAATTATGCAATTGATTTGCAGTTGATTTATAGACTATTATAAAACTCTTTTACAGTAAATATGACTTTACACAGAGAGGACAGTTAGATGTGTGCAAGAACATTCCAGTTACCCACAGGCATCTCTTCTGACAGGTCATCTGCCAAAATGGGTCCCAAGGACTGTTCACATTTAGTTTATAGAATAGTGTGTGTTTGTATAGGAAGTGGGGGAGGGGGGGCATAATGGAAACCCTTCTGGTGCCTGATAAGCATGGTCATGAGTGCAGTCAACCAGTCTAGTTGGAAATGCTCAGATCCAGAGATTATCATCCAATGTATATCAGAATCTGTAAGTAACTGTTTCACGTTTTAACCAGTTCCAGTTTGGACCAATTCTGACATCCCTCTCCTATATATAAAAACATCTATTACACCCCAGATCTCTCCTCTGGCCTCCAGTGCAGCTGATCAGAAATGGATCGGTCTGATCAGCTGCTGCACTGGCTGGTAACCAGCCAGTAAATGCAAAGCCGAAGCCAGAAGTGACAAAATCCATGTAGTTTCCAGTTTCTGTCATCACACAGTGGGAAGAACATCAGTTCGTCTCACTGTGTGCCCAAAGCCTCTGCAGTGCCCGGTAAAGGTGGCGGAGGTGGCAGGGGTGACTCTCTTCTGCTGCCTGTAAAAGTAATCCAGCGGCTCTTTAGCCACTCAGATTACTTTTCCCAACTTCAGTATCATAAGCTGGAAAAACTTATGTTTCAGTAATCACTGCAGCTGCAGCGATGACCGAGATATAACCCTTCCTATCCAGCAATATACGCATATGTCACTGGTCAGGAAGCAGTTAAAAAAATAAAAACCAGTTTATAGAGTTTATACTTGGTTTAGTAACACTAAAGTGTTACTAAATCCACAACAGTAAAATCAGTCTGTATATGCAGTAAAGCTTGCTTGTTATACTCACTGTAGAACCTAAGGAGCTAATCCTCTGCATTGTGTAAAAATGCTGTTTGATCCTGACTTTTCTGATCCTCCCCTTCTTCCAGTGCATCCCTCTTATCTCCTGATAGGACATATCGTGTGGAGACACTCTGCACATGCTCATTTTAGTGTGTATTGCTAGAGAATCTTTTTTCTCTTGAGAGAATGCATGTGATTAGCACAGGGTCAATCAGCGCTGTCCAGACAGAGGCCAGGGGATTTGCTTCCTCCTAGAGACCGCTCTAACTGCTGATGAGGAAAGGTATTTAGCAATTTATAATTACTAAAATAATTGCATTTCTATGTAGTATGTACTGTGGGACACCAGATATAGTGAATGTAGGGTCCTGGGTTTAGTAACACTTTAACTAATGTGGTTCCATCTATTGGCTCCTACATCACTATGGAACACATTAGGGATGGTGGATAGAACCACAGTGCATGACAGAGAACCCAGGGACACAGCCACCTGACCAGAAGTGTGTTGGATGTGAAGATTCTGCTGGAAAATAAACTTTCTTCTTTTGCACTGTAGTTTTTAGATTTTTTTTACGTCAAATAGGACCATTTAATTCATGTAATATTTTAAACATTATGATGAATAAGAAAGGAATTAATAGCCCAAAAATGTTGCATCTGAATAACAAGAGTAAAATGTCCAAAGCATTTACCACAGATCTTCACTTTGACAATAGGCAGCAATCAGCAGCTCAGTGAGAAACATGTTTAAATTTAGAGCAATACAAAAATACAAAAACTGGCAACCATAGGGATTAAGTTAACAAAGAGCCAACTGCACAAAATAAAAATTAGAAGCACTGGGGGAGACTTACTAAAGCTACTTCGCTCATATCTCATGACTTGTGCATGGTAGCCATTCAGCCTCTAACTTCATCTTGTTCAATTAAGCTTTAGCAATAAAACCTGGAAGCTGATTGGTTTCCATGCTGAAGTTTACAAGATTCTGAGTGAACCAGCTTTAATAAATAAACCCCACTAAGTAAGTAGTCTGTACCATCTCAGTGACATTCACATTAAAGGTCCTCTACTAAATACACTGCATATATACTGTATATATATATATATATATATATATATATATATATTCATATGACCACCATATATAAAACTTTATTTACAGTAAATGATGTTTACAAGCATACATGTACAGAGAAGCTTTATTCCATTGGGTTTTCTTTAGGTATGTCTATTTTCTCCTACAATATGATGGGTTAATTAACTGTAGTGTATATGTATGTGTTTGCTCTGCTACACAAATTAGATTTAATGCAGAGTTTATTGTGCATAAATAAAATCCTGCAATTAGAGTGAAACACAATAATGATATGCAGTTATGAGCAGATCTTTCATGTCTCTGCATATATGCAATTATTTTCATGAGTAGGGCGTACAAAGTAGAAAGTATTTTATTAATAAATATCATTCTGAGAATGGGGATGGTTAGGGATGTGAACACTGTACTTGCTTCTTTCAGTGATTAAAGTGTTCCTGTATTTTTAAAATGTGCCATTGAATGCAGATCTATGAGTAGAAATGAAAGCATTTTACCATAACACCAAACCACTGAGCAGAATTACAGCAAAAAAAAAAAACCTTGCACAGCACTTATGAATACAAAAGTACATATTCATTGGGCCAATTCACCAGACCTTTATGTTAGGCATTGATGATGTCTACTGTGCCTTTCCGGTACATCTTAGATTAGGCATATCATCAGGGAAAATCTGCAACATGGATGCAGATATCCGTACAAAGCAAAAAGGAGTTCTTGGCTTCCCCTACTGTTGTACAAAAGGCATCTTCATTTTTGTTTGTTTTGCCCTTGGAATCTCACCTCACGTCCTGTCTGGGCAGTAGGACAGAAAATGAAGGAAATCTCTTTAATGGAGCCCGTAACCCATTTCTACTCTACTCCAAACTTTAAAACAAAGTTTTGGCTGGACATACACTATGTTTTTTCCATGCCTGGCTAAACAGCAAGGTTACATTATTGCTGGCCCTTGCAGCTGTTAGCACTTACCTTCCCTTCACTCCCTATGGAAGCAAGGTTACATACATCAAACTTCCAGGTACTTCCCCCCTACTGTGAACTTGCTAGTTTTAGGTATTTGGCTGTTTAGACATCCCCAGCTCTCACACAGAGGTGAAGAGAGACTCCTTGTGTAGGCTCCAAGTCATGACTTAGAATTTTCACATGGTATTATTCTCTTCACTCCTGGTGGCCAAACTGAGAAGAGGAGAAGAAAAGGAAAGGAAGTATGAGGTGCTGCTGGGGCCAACATTTGAGTGCATCTTTTCCTTTGCCTGCTTGAGCAAACCAAAAGTTCACTTTATTATGGTAGTAAATAACTTTAAGTTCAAAGTTATAAAACTGGTAATGCAAGCAAGTAATTGCAAGCAACTGGAGGCGCAGTATTTACCTTTAAACATATTTTTGAGTGCCCTGGGAGTCATAAAGTGTTATTAAAGGCAATTAAAAAAATAACAAACATGTCATACTTACCTGCTCTGTGCAGTGGTTTTGCACAGAACAGGCCTGATCCTCCTCTTCGCCAGTCCCTTGCCAGCATTCCTGGCCCCTCCCTCCTGCCTAGTGCCCCAGAGCAAGCAGCTTGAAGGTTTTTTACTTTCATGCATAGAATGCATGAAGGTAAAAAAACGTGAGCCTTTACAGCCACTTTAAAGCCTAATTATTAATATTTAACATAAGCTCTTAACAGTACAAGAGGTAGGGCTAAAATGGTACAAGAAATTCCCATTATAAAGACTTTACAGTTATATCTCCAAATCTATAGATGCTTTTTTATAGAAATATTGTGATATACTGTATGTAACAAGGAATTTACATGTGCAAGAAAATTATCAGAAATGAGATTTTATTAGCATCAGTCTAGCAAATTACAAATAGAAAAGTGACTGGTGGCAAAGCACAATTCTTTTCCTGCAATGCACATTCAAGAATCTTCTCAGATTACTAGAAGTTTTTTATACATTAATTTAGTTTGTCATAGGTCACAGAATAAGTGTAAATAATGAAAAATATGATAATCCATCCTTATCACTGCTCTAGGAGCAACTCATTTATTGTAGATGAGAAATATGTTATCATTTACATCCAGATTGCATGTCCTCAGAAAGATACTTGTAGGAATATTCAATATACCGTAAATGGAAGACATACTCACCATCACTTATTTTAGTGCCTCCTAGTACAATGGCTGATATCCCAACAGAGGAGGAAAGCATCCAGATACACACATTGATGAATTTAGCTTTCAGTGGTGTCCGGAAATCCAGGGCTTTTACTGGGTGGCACACTGCAATGTATCGGTCAACACTCATCATGGTAAGTGTGAATATACTGGTAAACATATTATAGTAGTCAATGGACATGACTATTTTACAGATAATATCTCCAAAAGGCCAAGAACTCATTAAAAATTCTGTGCTTTGGAAAGGCATGGTAGTGGTCACTAGGGCATCAGCCAAAGCTAAGTTGAATATATAAATGTTGGTTGCAGTCTTCATTTTTGTGTATCTGTTGAGGACAAAAGGCACAGGTGAAAATCATAAAGTAATTCAATAATTCATACATTTTTGTCACACTAGTAAAGTAGAATGTATAAGTGTTATAGAAGCCAGATACACTGACTCTGTAACGTAGAAATTGCAGCAGTTTCAGTGATGTCTCATGGTTGAATGGGGCTTGGAGGACAAAAATGGCAAATTACATTTTTTATAGTAAGCGAAATGCTGAGACTCATAGTATACACAATAAAGTGTATGTTTACTTTTCAATAAAGTACAATGGTTAAGACCATTGGATGGTTTTTCTTAGCTGTCTCTCTCATTTCTGTTACCTTTCTTTTCAATTTCTACCTAATACACAAGATTTGAAGTAAGAGGAAAATTGGATTTCTTCAAAGTTAGAAGAAATCCAATTTTAAACAGGTGTCATCTGCACAGGTGTCTCCATAGGACCTCACTACTTTGTTCTTGTGAAATCAATTTTGGATTTCCTATCCCTTTCTGTAATGGAGGGAATGGTCATCATGAGAAATAGAGAGGGTGAATCTTCTCAAATGGGACACAAACAGCTAAAAAAAAAAGAAAAACCCTAAGGAGAAGAAAGTGCTATTTTTTTTATACTGCTCTTAAAGGTAGCATCCATGGGTCGACATATATCTTTTGTAGTCTCGTATACAATTAGGAAAGTTCCCACCATGCTGTAAAAAGTCCACAAGCTAATGTTAATAAAACTACCATTCAGTTAGATCCAGTGTAGTTCAGGGGTTCACAGGGACAACTTTCATCAATGTTTGTATAGAAGAGAAAAATGAATCCTTAACCTTAGTAAATGTGGAGCCTTCGCAAAGAGACATTTGAAAACATGAAAAGGGGATTTGCTATAAAACCCCAGTTAACACAGCACTCTGTTTTCTAAATTGGCATCTAGAACTGAATTCCTTCTTTACCTGAAATGAGGTTTTAACACTTCTTCAATTTAGCAAAAATTTAAAAAACTGTTTTAGTTTTAAACCCACTTTAATTAATGTCCTATGGTCAAAATAGGATCTCATCAGTATACAGGGCATGAACATAATGTCGTATTAGTTCAATTAGACATTAGACTAGGGTTCAGAATTCAGATCATAAATTATTGTTAATCAAGTTTGCACATGTAAGAACCACATTGTGCCTGTGACAAGGCTAAGTTTAATTCTTCTGTGATGTCAATAAAAATATTTAGAAACACAAAGGCTATCAGTACAAATAGCATACAGTTTGGCTTACCACTTCTGCTCTGCAATACTGGGGTCCTCAGTTTGAATTTCAGTCAGACAGTTTGAATTTCAATCAGAACACTACTTTCAATGTCCATATTCTTCCTGTGCGTGTGTGGGGTATCCTCCCACATCCCAAATAAATGCTAGCAGTTTGCTGGCTTCTGTTTAGATTTGCCTCAGTACGTGTATGCATGTGAGTTAGGGAACTTAGATTGTTAGCTCATTGAGGGCAATGACTGATGTAAATGCACAATATGTAATTCACTTTGTAAATTGTTGGAACTATATACTGTAAATATCTGTAATAAACACATACATGTGTTTTCATTTCGTGAAGTCATACTAGGAAAAGATGACCTCTGCATTGCACTGTGCATATTGTCTTCTGGTATAAGCCCAACAGACTTTTCTTGGTATGGCTTCATATGATGAATTGATGCAACACAACAAAATAAGCTTCAATACAGCTGGTTCCTGGTTTCCTGATTTCAACTTTTAGTTCTATATTAAATGGATATATTGACTTTTGCCCTTTTTAAAGGTCATGTTGTTGAGCTTCTACCATTTTATAAAATTATGTTTTAGTGTATTTTGCCACTTAAATATTTTATGTATAGTATGTACATTTTTTCCAAGAAACTTGAAGTAGACAGCTAATGCCCTATACATATAACATGGCACTTCTAATTTAAAGATTGCTTATATTTATGTATTCTTTATGATATCTGTCTGAAAGATCTGTCAGCACTTTAGGAAATTGTCTGCTATTTCCATTTTGGCTAGAAGCAGCATGCTGGCCAGCTGGTGACTTTGTTTAAGCTCAGATTTCATGGCCTTATTGAGTCATAAAATGAAAGATTACTTTTGGATGAAATAGATAAAAACACTCAATACCAACAGTGCTGAGACCTTTTAATATTAGACTCCTAATTGTGAATAGTAACTTGTACAAAATGAAGCTGTTGTCCACAATAATAATTTTCATTCCTAGAATGTACATAAAGCCAAAATGTTTTAATTTTAGACACAGTAGGGAAGGATTGAAACCCCTGCCAGGTACCTCTTTCTGCTTGTGTCTGGAGATTTCCCTTCACCTCCTGCTCTCAACAGAAAATAAAAAGACATTTATCCAAACTGAATGAAATTCCTACCTTAGAGTGTTGTCAAGGGGATAGGTGTCTCCATTTGAGAAATGTCTTCTTCACATTATGCATTCATTACAACTCAAATATTTTTGATTTACTGTAATTTTCTATCTTAAATAGCAAGAGTGAATCTACCCAGTAGGGACACAAACACTTAAACTTGACAAATGTTCTAATCCTTCCCCATTCTATTCAAAACAAAAAAAATACCTTTGCATATAGAGTGCTTTAATTTTCCAGAAACAGTAAACTCAGGATCTGATCCGTTGCTATGGTCAGCATCCTATGTTTTGCTCCATTTTTTTCTTTTGGCTTTTATAAACCAATTCCAGTATCAGGGGCTCATTTTCACACACCCAACTATCAGATGTACTTGTACATGAACACACGTATGATGTTGACCATTTGCGCAAGTAACAGAAAAAGATGTCTAGACATGCACAAGTCTACTTCACACTTACCCAAAAGAGCCAACATCCTTACTATCTACCTTCATCTACCTTCAATCATAAATTTGGTGTTAATTCTTCTCTCTTCTTTAAAGCGGTTTAAAAACCTTTGAAAAGAAAAACAAATAAAGCACATCTCCCCTTCCTCTGCAATGTGTCACTTCTGGCAGTTTTCTCTTACACCAGGCACTCATGGTGACTCCTCAAATTAATGGCACTGCTATAGAGCAGCATGTTTCTTTATGTGTTGGGAACGTGTACAATTTTGTGCTCATTCACAAAATGCAGTAATATGAACCTAGCCTAATCTATGTTCAGTGATACTGTATGTTTGCAAAACTATTATAAATTTAAAAGAACTAATATGCACAAACTTGCAGGAGGGTAATCTATATGGCAATAATAGTGCAGTAGGGATTAAGGGTGGCTGGAAGGGCCAGAGATGTAATAAAGGGGAAAATCTTCTAATAAAGAGTCAGGAAACAGATAGTATAAACACTGCATCAACTGGGTGCCTTGTAGACTTCCAAACACGCCAAGGCATTTAGTGTAATGTGAGCTATTTTACTTAAGTTTTGTGGATGCACACCCTCTCTACAATTACAGCATAGATCAAGATACAGATCAAGTAGCAAGTGAGTATGTTCTAGTGAAATTACTATGGCTATGGATATTAAAGAAACAATAATTCACATGAGATTTGAGTTTTAGTCAAATAGATCCATAATGTAATTTCACCTAACAGGCCCTCCTGCTACTTAAAGGACAAAAATCAATACTTAATAAGGAAAACTACATTTGACATTAACACCACAAATTAATTGAGGTAATTGCGAGTACACTCTGCTTTACATCTGTCTTTTTATTGTATAATCTATATGATCTCAGATTCAATCAAGCAAATAATATTATATTAGCTTCCTAATCTAAGCTCTTATTAAAGCTAAATGGCATATACCACAGCTGCTGTTATATTATAAAAATTATTTTGTAGACATATATGGATATGATCAATATGTATAAATATAGTGCTCAAAAAAAATTAAAGGAACACTTTGAAAACCCCTCAGATCTCAACGGGGAAAAATATCATGATGGATATCTATACTGATATGGACTGGGTAATATGTTAGGAACATCAGGATGCCCCATCGCTTGATGGAAATTAAAATTGTCAACCTACAGAGGACTGAAATCAAAGACACTCCGAAAATCAAAGTGAAAAATAATGCAGCAGGCTATTCCATTTTGCTGAAAATTTCATTGCAGCAGCTCAAAATGGTACTCATTATTTTGTATGGTCCCCACATGCTTGTATGCATGCCTGACAACTCCGGGGCATGCTCCTAATGAGACCACGGATGGTGTCTTGTTGTATTTCCTCCCAGATCTGGACCAGAGCATCACTGAGTTCCTGGACAGTCTAAGGTGCAAACTGGCAGTGTTGAATGGACCAAAACATGATATTCCAGAGGTGTTCTATTGGATTTATTGGATTTATGTCAGGAGAGTGTGAGGGCCATTCAATGGTTTCTTCTAGGAATTGCTTACATCCCGATACCTAATGGCAATCAGAGTGCAATTGTCTAGCCTGTAAAGGTCTGTGCGTTCCTCCATAGATATATCTTTCCAGACCATCCCTGACCCATCACCAAAATAGTCATGCTGAACGATGTTACAGGCAGCATAATGTTCTCCATGGCTTCTCCAGACCCTTTCACGTCTGTCACATGGGCTCAGGGTAAACCTGCTCTTATCTGTGAAAAGCACAGGGCACCAGTGGCAGACCTACCAATTCTGGTGTTCAATGGCAAATGCAAATCAAGCTATATGGTGCTGGGCAGTGAGCACAGGGCCCACTAGAGGACATTGGGCCCTCAGGCCACCCTCGTGAAGTCTGTTTCTGTTTTATTGGTCAGAGACATTCACATCAGTGGCCTACTGGAGGTTACTTTGTAGGACTCTGGCAGTGCTCATCCTGTTACTCTTTGCACAAAGGGTTGATGGGTTAAGGACCTTCTATGGCCATGTTCAGCTGCCTGTCTCCTGGAATCTCCTCCATGCTCTTGGGACTGTGCTGGGAGACACAGCAAACTTTCTGGTAATGGCACGTATTAATGTGCCATCCTTGAGGAGTTGGACTGCCTGTGCAACCTC